AGAGGATACAGATGAATGACCATTTTGTATCTGTGTATTCAAAATGGTTAGGATAGATATATAGCTACATTCTCTTAATTCAATGAATAGAGGGATTTGTTCTAATAGTGTTTGTAAACAGGATATCATGTCTGCATCTTGTACAATGAATAACCACTAAGAAAACAATATGCAGTGTATTAATTATTGAAACTGACCTACTAATTTGATTTGAAACTGTCTCATTGCTATTTGTTTCTCAATAAAATTATGGAAAAAAATCTTCCATCCTTCAAAAAAAATAAATAAAAAGTAGCATTTAATATTTCTCCAAAATTAAAAAACAGTATCACTCATAATAGCATCAAGAAATTAAATACTTAGGAATTAACCTAACCGAGGAAGTGAAAAACTTCTACAACAAAAACTATAGTACTCTGAAAAAGAAGAATGAAGAGAACATCAAAGAATGAAAAGATATCTCCTGTTCCTGAATAGGCAGACCAACATAGTAAAGGACTAATACTTAGAATATATAAAGAACTCAAGAAACTGAAATCCCCCAACAAAAAATGAGCAACTGACATGAATAGAGGCTTCTCAGAGGAAGTACAGATGGCCATTAAGTACAACATAACTAGTCATTAGAGAAATGCAACTTAAAATAATGCTGAGATTCTATCATACTCCAGACAGAATGGTTGTCATGAAAAAACCAAACTATGGTGACATTGAGGAGGAAAACCCAACTCTCCTACGTTGTTTGTGGGAATATAAACCTGTACAATCACCATGGAAATCAATATGGAGATTCCTCCAGGAGTTAAAACTAGAAATTCCAGTTGACCGAGATATTCCCCTCCTACGTATCCTCTCAAAAGAGTTAAAGGTATCATAATACAGTGATTCATGCATAGCCATGTTTATACCAATATAATTCATAATAGCCAAATCTTGGAAGTACCTTTATGTCCATCAACAAATGAATGGCTAATGAAAATGGGGCATTTATACAATGGAGTACTGCTCTGCTGTAAGAAAGTATAAACTTGAGTCATTTGTAGGAAAATGGATGCACTTTGAGACCATAATGTTAGTGAAATAAATTAGACACAGCAGCTTAAATATTTCGTTTCTCTTATATGAGTCATCTGAAGTATAAATAAATCAAAGAGTGGATGGATAATAGGAAGCAGAGAGGTTTTTGTTTTTGTTTTCAAATAGCAGAAGGACCAAGAGATGGAAGAAGAGAAGAGGAAGAGAGGGTGTAAAAAAAAATTAAGATGTATAATTACATGTACCAACTCTCCATAATGAATATGATTGTGTACTGCAACCATGTACTAATAAGAACTTAAGAAGACATGTCTCCAAAAGTTTCCACTTTGCAGTTCACTTTTGCAGTGATTTCTAAAGTATTCTCACTTATTTAAGATAAGATATTTCCTAGATGTTTCAAGCTACTCTCAGAACTTGGTTTCTACATGGTTTGAAGAATCTGGTGTAGTTATCTAAAATGTAGAAAGGGATTCTGGAATAATGTAACTGATTCTAAAGGGCATTTCAGAGCATCACAATCCTAAAATAGAATGTAGTCACATATCTTTTAAAATCTGAACTGATACTTAACCTAAAGAAAACCCATTCTAGGGCTGGGGGATAACTTGGCGGTCTAAGTGCCTGCTTGGCAAGTTCACGGGCCCGGGTTTCATCCCCAGTACAGCATGCCATACCAGCCCTGGAACCCTGGGCACACCATGCTGGTTACCAAAACTGGGCATAGTGTCTCAAGCCTATAATCCCAGGGTTGGGCAGGCTGAAAACAGGAGGATCACTACTGAGCTGTGTAGTGAGACCCCGTACCAAATAAATAAATAAATTTTTTGAAAAGAAGACCAATGCTCAATTTATAGGAAAATGTGTTTGTTTTAAACAACAACAACAAAAAAGGTCTTTATAACAAACTTGGCACTTTTTAACTTGCCAGTTGAACAGGCGTTGAGTTCGGTTAACCCTCAGTGTCACAGGATTGGTTCCAGGATCTCTGTAGTGGATGCTCAGGCTTTTTATACAAAATGCTATGTGTTTGCATGTAGTCTACATATGTCCTCCCACGTTCTTTCAATCCTCTCTCGATTACTTATGATACCTAATGCAATGTAAGCGCAATGTAAACAGCTATTCTACTGGATTATTTAGGGAATAATGGCAAAAGAAAAGTTTGTACACATTCAGACGCAATTATTTTGAGTATTTTCCACTCAGCTGTGGGTCCTGAAGATACTGAGAGGGCCAACGATACTTGCTGTGCACTAAAACACAACACAGTGCCTCAGTTGGTGCAAGGTGCCTTGTTTCAGAGTTATGTTTAGCACTTGCATTTTATAATCATCTGTGTAGTCCTTTATAAGCAGTCTGTTTTCTTAGTGACAAGAGTAAAATCTGTTGTGCTGCATTGGTACTTCTGGAATGAGGTTGTAAGGACCAGAACTATTATGGCAGATGGAAAAAACAATTGGGTAGAAAGACACATAATTCTTTACTTTCTTCTGTCCCAACATAGTGTCTGGTATAATATATGTTCTGTAACATAGTTCTGTATCAAGTCAGTTTAATAAGACCACTGTGGTGCCTCATTTCAAGGAGCTTGCAGTCATTTAGGGAGAAAGGAAACAACATACAACAAATTGTTAAATAGCAACACAGAGCAGTTGGGCTTTAAGCAGTTGTATGTTAAACAAAAATAGGTGCTTCTGAAAATACTGCTATAGAAATTTCGAGAAGGAGGTAGATGGTGTGAGCTAAAGCAGGTGGAGAACATTTTGTGGGGAGATGGTATATGAGTTAATTTGAATGGGAAAGGGTATTTGCAAAGAATAATGGAACTGAACAAAGGTAATGTGGCAGAAGACAAGAGACATTCCTGAGAAAGAGAAGGCAAAGTAGTCCACGTAGAGTGTTTGCTTAGCAGAGTAGACAAGATGACTCTGGAGAGATAGGAGAGCTTAGACGATAGAGGACCTTAAAATTTGACTAGATTGTAGATCCATGTGAACATGAGTCATGACTGGTTCATAATTGCAGCCTAGAACCTGCCATAGTCACTGGTAGCTAGTATACATGCAATCCAATTTTGTTGTATGAATTCATGACTTGCATGAAGATATTTTGAAATATTGAGTGGTTATCTGGAGATCAGTAGGGACCCACTGTAGATTTGGAAGTATGCAGATGTCATGTTATAAATAACTCTTCCCAAGACCATGGGGGAAAAAATGGAGGGAAGGGCTTATGAGATGGCTCAGCAGACTAAGCACCTGCTTTGGCAAGCACAGGGACCAGGGCTGGATCCCTAGTCCCAAAGGTCACACTGGCCCCGCCCTGGGGGCACACTGAGCCAGCACGCAAGTCAGGGTGTGGTGGTGCTGCCTGTAACCCTGGTGCGGGGGAGGCTGAAAACAGGAGAATTACTATGAGTCCGAGCTGCATAGTAAGACCCTGTACCAAATACATAAATGAAAAAAAAATAAATAAAAATGGAGGGGGCAAATGTTAGGGTTTTTTGGTGCAGCAGAGGACAAAAAAAAAGACAGGCCTTTATTGAGAACACAGAGAGAACCACAGGAAGGTGGCAGGAATCCTCTGACCTGAAACAAAGGGGAACTGGGATTTTAAGGATTTCTGCTAGGGGTGGTGTTTGGGAGGTGGGCTCAGTGACAGGTAAGGAGCTGATTGGGGCTCCTTTGTATGTGCAGGAAAGGTAAAAGGAAGCTGTATTCAGGGTGGGAATGGAGGTGGAGGTGGTCATCGGGAAGACAGGCTGTTGTTTTGGGGCTTCAGCTATGTTAAATGACCACCATAATAATTCAGCAATTCATAGTCGGGCTGGAACCTATCAGTGGAGGCCGAATGGGCACAGGGCAGCTAGGCTCTTTCTGTAAGTAGCTGAGTGAAATGGGTTAATAGTGAACCAGGGAAGGGGGGAAGAAGAACTGCTTTAGGTTGAAGCAATTTGGGATTTATTGGGATTGTTTTTTTTTTTTTCCGCTGTAAAGACAGTGAAAGAGATGTTGCCAAGGTAGATAAACAGTGAGCTGATTTTAATACTTAAGAATTTCTTTCTTGATTATCTTTTTTTCCTAGGATTTCCTGGCCCACATGGTCATCTAAAGACTGGGCTTTCTTCAACAGTGCTCAATTCTGCAGACATTTTCCCAACAGAATAATGCTGTGTTCTCCTTTGAACATTTCTGAATTGACAGACTTGCTACCTCCAGAATTCCTATCCTATCAGAGGAGATTTGGGAAGCTTGTACAGAAAACAACTAGCCGGTCTGATTGCAAGTGGGGGGGGGGGCGTGAATGAGGGAGACCACCTCTCAGTTTAGAACTCAGGGACAGGTGGGTTCGTTAGGCTGCGAGGCAGCATCAAGCTCTAGTTGCCAAACCCCAGGACAGGAGATTTTCTCGTTTTCCCCCATGTCTAGAAGGAGAAGGTAGGTTTCGAGTGCTCACCTTCTGCCCAGCCCAGCCCGGACACTTCAGAGTTGAACCACGAATCAGGTTGATGCACTCAGTCAGGGTGCTGGGTGGAGGGTCCCTGCCCTCCGGGGCTTATTTCAGGGTGGCTGTCCCGGCGCCCCAGCCCACCTGCGAGCTTTTCCAGGCCGGGTGGGCACGGAGAGGAGGCGGGCTGCAGGTGGGCCGCCAGCACCTTCCTCCCACCCAGGGCCAAGCCCCTCGGGGACCGCGGTGTTTCCCCTTCTAGGACATCACTTCAAGGGAGGAAGAGAACCGCTCTTTCTCGCATTCTTTCTCTAGATCTAAGGCAGGAAGACGAAGAGCCATTAACAGCAGCAATATTATTACCATTAAGAACTCAGATCGAGAGGGGAGAAGCTGCGGCGGACGGGGCTCACACGCCCCACCTCGCTCGGGGACAAAGCTCCGCCTGGCGCCGCCGCGGAGGACCCGGCGGGGGAGGCGGGAGCCGCCCAGCCAGCCGCGAGCTGTCAGCGTGGCCGCGCCCCGCGGTCCAGGCCGCCGCGTCCCCGCCCGCCGCCGGGCAGGTGTCCTGCGGGACGATCTAGGAGCCCGAGGCGCAGGGGCCGGGCGGGCGCGGTGCCGGCTGTACTCCACGGATAGCCTCCAAAACCTACGCCCTGCGGCTCCTCCTCTCCCTTCGGCCCCTCCTGCCTGAGCCATGTCCACCAGAGGTGAGTGCGGGCCAGGTGGGCGCGGTCTGCGGACCGGGGCCCGGAGCTGGCTCACCTGGGCGGGCCAGGCAGGTGCAGGAGGGCGAGGGGCTGCGGGAGCCGCACCGGCCCCAACCGGCCTGAAACTTTGGCAGCAAATCCGTGTCTGCAGGGCGGGCGGCTCTGGAGAGGAAGCCCTCGCCCTTGACCTTCATCCCGGTTGTGGTCGAACCCCGAGGGCCAAGGTCCGTGCCCAGCCCACCTGTACCCGCTGCATGCAGGGGCTGGGCGGCATGGGGGATGGGCGGGGAGCTGCTGGGGGTGCGGGGAGGGAGGAAGAGGTGTTTGGTTTTTTTTTTTTTTTTACTTTTCCTTTTTTTTTTTTTTTTTTTTTTTTTTTTTTCTGTTTTTTGTTTTTTTTTTTTTTTTTTTTTTTTTTTCCTTCTTTCTTGTTACCATTTTGCAGCTTGGTTATGGAAAGAATCCAGGGCTTGATGCTGCAAGATTTAAAGCTGCAGTGCTTACGCTCCATTAAACAACAAGTAAATTTCCTACCTGAACCCTCCTTGCGTTCATTTCCTTCCCACTCTCCACTTTTAAGAATTTTATTTTCTTGGAGTAAAACAATTACTGCAGGCGAACTGGGTGATAGAACAGCAAATCAGAACTGCTTTTCAGGCAGGAGTGAGGGGAATGCATTTCTTGCCATCTGGAGCCAGCGAGGACGGTGGGGCAGAGTGAGTTAGTCAGAGCTCAGTGGCTCCTACTATGAGTGAAATGGCAGGGATCAAGGCATTGTGCAGCTTGCAGGCGACTAGAATGCAACGACTTGGTTGCTTTGTCATCCGCATTTGAGGAAAATATTGATTATTTTTAGGATGTGTGTTTGGAAAGCAATAAGCCCTACCCCTTGGGATGCCCTAGACCAACTTGTGAGAGGAGTTACAGAGCTGTTTTTTAAAAGACCTGAAAGCCTGAACTCTGTTTTTGGAGGGGAGTTTAGGAATTTAATAACATGGGCTGGACAATTAAGCACTGCTTTTCAGGTTTCACTCTGGGGATTATAATGAATAATCTCTATCTTGAATGTTTGAATTTCTTTTCAAGGAATCTGATCTTGGTTGATGGTTTTTCTGGCCATGTAGTTGGATGGTGCCATCTCTGCAATGAGGTGGTAAGGGCTGGGCAGAATGACAGGATTTATGGTGCAGAGAGCTGGTTGCAGAGGTGACAAGAGCCCCTGGGACCCGACCCACCTATTCACATCTAATAATCTGTCTCTGTTAGGAGAAGCAAAGGGAGGGCATGATGATAAGAGGAGAGATGGTCATAAGAGACCTGTGAGTATAAATGGGATCTTCAGGGGACTTAAGGGCCCCAGGTGTGCAATCTCTCATGTTCTAAGAGGAAGATTTTGGTCCTGACCTCTGTCCTAAGCACCAAGGAACACATGAAGGATGCTGTGTTCCATTGGAATACTCTCTGAGGTTCAGGTCCACCTCCAGATTCTGTCTACACCATTAACGTCCACGGTGTCAGTGTTGGACACTGTAGGAGCCAAGTAGCCACTGGGAAGGTTGGTCTATCAAGGAAGCATCACCATTAGGTGATGCCATCAATTTCACTTAGCCACCAAAGGTCCCCCCATCACAGGTCTCCGTGGTTCATCTGTGGATGTGGGGTGAAGTGGCCCGGTGACCCCTAGAGGCATTAGTCTTTGACTGTGACAAGCTTTCTCAGTGCTTTCTTCCTGAACCTAGTTCTCATGTAGGATGATTTAGACTCAGAGACCTTCCACTCAGCTGTCCTATCCCCCCTTCAAACCCTCAAACCCACGTTGCTAACCTTGAATCTAGCAGTTTAATCTTGCAGGAGGGCAAGACATAATACTAAATGTTAAGTTATTCAATGCTTTTTTATGTGCCAGCCACTTTGCAGGCATTATACCTCTTAATCTTCACAATAGTACAAACAAGTGGACACTGTCATTGCTTCCCCAGTTCACAGATGGAGAAACTGAGGTTCTGAGAGATTGTGTAATTTGTGTGAGCTTAAATAGTTGAAGTGTCAGGTTCTGATTTTTATACCCTTATCTGTTTGATTTTGACAGATTTTGTATCATCACCTCTAGTATTAATTTTTTTGCTATAAGCGGCACAATCATTGACTTACTAAGGAGACAAGGCAAATGGCCTGCATTGGAAATTAAGGACATTGCCTTGATAAGTGACTTGGAAGTCCCAGTACATGTAGGAGCTTCTTCATGAGCATTTGGTGATGACAAAATAGAGGGAACAGACTCCTACTAACGCTGGCTGTTGTTAACTTGACATTCCCACTCTGTTTCCTCCAGTTTCCAATTTAAGGACCAGGATTTCCTAGATATTGTTAAAGACGGAGGACTTTTCTTCTATCTGTATGAAGTACTTTTTATTTATATGAAGTTGCTAAAAACAACTTTATCTAATTGGTAGAATGGTTATTAGAGTAGCTGGTAATTGAACTTATCTAGAAAAATGTCTATTTTATCTTTTTTTTTAAATGAAACATGCCAATGCTGTTTCACTATTTTTTTTTTTTTTTTTTTTTTAGTTCCGTATCTGCTGTCATCTCTGCTTCTGAAACTAGAGACTAAAACTTCAGGATCAGAAATTAATGTGTCTGCTTAACTGTACAACTTATAAATAGGAAGGTCGTTAGTCCCTGGGAAAGACAAATCCCACTAATTTAAAAAATGATCCCTGTTTATTTCCAGTATCTAGGCTTGTAGGCTTTGGTAGGGGCAGAACTTTTGTAAAATTGAAAACACTAAAATCAGGTGACTCATAAAAAGTAAGCATCATTAAATATTTTTAGAGCAAAATATTATTCATCTAGTCTTTTATTCTATGATAGTAAAGTTATCCTATCTATGATCACCTCAAATATTCTCATCAAGGATTTTAAACTTGGTGGTGTATTTTTGTCACTAGAGACTGAAATGGATCTGTCACATCTTGATTTATGAGTTGCCAGCCACTGGAAATTATAACATAGAACAGAGTGCCCAAATCCATGGAAAACTGTCTAGGTAGTCTCTTAAAAATGTAGATTTCCGGGCCTTGTTCCAGCTCAGTGGATCATCAAAATCTAAAGGAAGAGCTCCCAATTCCTGTACGTGAAATGTTTTCAGGTGATTCTAAGGATCATTAGGCTCCCAAATTTCGGGAACATAAGAGTCATCAAGCATATCAATCTGGACTTTGCTTTTGAACTACCAAATCAGAATATTCAGAATAGGCTGGAAATCTGAATATTTCATAGGCTAGGGTTGATTCTTATGTGTGGGAAGCCATTGGAGCCATTGAGTTGGAGCCTGTCTCCTATTGCGGAATCCAGATCATCCAGCAAGTTTCTAAAAAGGTAACTTTCAAGTTATGAAAGTAATTATTAAAATTTATCATCAATATATTAATATTGTAAAATAGAAACATCTAAGTGGAATATACTACAATAAATCATAAAGTACATTTAAAATTCAAACATAATAGTACAGAAAGTTAAAAATATAAACTTCCTAGTTTTACTCTTGTTATCATTTGTATTGAGAATGTTACCCTGGATCTCATGTGCTCACAGGATGGGCTTTCATATCGGGATTAAATCAGGGGGTGATAGAGTGGACTTACTGTTAGGAGGTGGGCCTGCTCAGAAGAGGGGAGTCGCTGGGGCCCTGACCTGGAAGCCTGCATCTTCCTCTCCAGCTCCTTCCTTCTCTCTGTTTCTGATCACCATGATGTAAGCCACGTTCCTCTGTCCACGCCCTTCCACCATGCCGGCTCTGTATTTAAATTTGTTGAACATGGTCAAAAAACTGTGAGCCAAAAATACACCTCTTCTTGAAATTGTGGATGTCAGTGGTGGCCAAGACAGTGTTCTATTAATTTTTCAGAATAAAATATGGTGGAAGTACATCTGTGTGTCTTTCCCAGCTGTTTGCTCTCTGGTTAACTTTTGGTTCAATTAAGTAAATGTTAAATAGGTATCCCCACAACACAAATGACCGATAACAGACACTATGCAAAGCAAGAGATCATTCCATAAGCATGCTAGCTTTTCAGGTGCTTAGGTCTTGAGGGGAAAGGGGCTGGTACATGGATGTGGATAGATTTTAATGTGCTTCCAGAGAGAGAACTTCAAAGCGTGTATGCTTTGGAAATATTAGAGAAATCTCTCTGTCTTTGCTTTCCAGAATTTTGCCCAGGGGCCAGGGAGATGGCTCAATGGAATAAGCACTTCCCTGGCAAGGGCAAGGGCCTGAGTTCAATCCCCGGTTCTGCCAAAAAAAAAAAAAAAAAAAAACCCAAAAAACAGAATTTTGCCTAAACCAAAAGCAAACTATACATTCTTCCAAGTGGAAAATATACTTCAACTGCAGCTTTTCTTATTTGGCTAAGCACTGGTTTCCAGTGTGCTTGACTGAGAAAAGAAAAAGAATGAGAGCGCTCAGCATTTCATGAACTAACGCAGTGATGTCCAGAACTATCCATCCATTCATCAGTCCATCCATCCACCCATCTCATAAACATTTGTTGAGCCCTCCTAGAACTCATAATCAAATAAACTCCACTTAAAATCCCATTGTCAGTACTTGTTACATTTTGTGATATCGCACGGGATAGACAAGCCCAGGTGGTCACTGTGGTAGTACCACAGTGGAGCTGTTATCTCTTAAAGCATGCAGCATTAACCACACAGCGGCTTGTACCAAAAGAACCTGTTTTACACCCATTCCTTAGGGACCCCTGGGGATGCATTCTGAAGCTCTGTGTGGTCTTCTCCTGCAGTCCCTCTTGCCATCTGATCGGCTCATCTTGTGGCAGTGTGACAATGCTAATCAGATACCCATAATTCTACCCGCAGGGTAAAGCAAGGCTTGCATCTTCCACAGTCTCCAGTAGAGCTTCCAGATTTAGCTCCAGTTTTCTCCCTGACCACATTGCCGCTCTCTGATTTTGTACATACATGCTGGCCTGGAGCAC